TGCTCTAAGAAAGGCGCCCTGGGATAAAAATCGTGAACTGAAAATACATTTAAGAAAGACTAACTGCAAAGCTAGATTCCGTGAAAGACTGTTAAGGTAAACAGTGATTGTTAGATCATGCATTTAGATAGTACACTAAATTCTGCTATGGGCCTTCAAAAATCTTTAGGGAGACATCACAGATGTCTCCAAGATTCTGAGCAGCAAGTTTTCCTGCTTGGAAACTTATTTTGTGTCCTTGAAAAGACCTTGAATTTGTTTGACCAAAACTGTTCGAGCCATGACTTAAGGTAGGCTCTGTGCATGCTGTTTCGAGCAAACTAGAGATGCAAATTTTTTCAATCTGCTTTGTTCAGCAAGGTTCTGCTTCAGGCCCATATCACTTTATTACCTTTGTTTGTTAGAGAAGCTAGGAACTCTACTAAGCTGCTCACTCCCCCTCCTAATGGTGACTTCATATGATGCTTACACTGTTCTTTTAAGTAGGCAACTATAAGGATATGCTGCATATTTTTTTTGGATTTATTATTATTATTATTATTATCATCATCATTATTATTAATACAACATGAACTACAAGATATGCTGCATGTAGTCATTCGGTCCACCAGTCATTCTGGCATGGTGGTATGCAAATTGTTTTACTGTCCATGTCACTAAATGGGATCTATCAAATCTAGGTTATCATGGTTGTTTGCCTTGTGACAAATTAATTGCTGTACGTCTAAGATTTGAAATTCGTTCAACACTATCAAGCTCTAATATAATTATGTCTACATATAATGTGAACTCACTATCAACAAGTTAAAATAAAATTATGTTGTTACATAGATTTTGAGGTTGAAGCAATGTATGGTGCCATCATGTGTTACAGTCAAAGGGTCTTCTCTCAGACCTTTTGAATAAGGAGCTTTATAGACGTGACATAAGAATTTTTCTACTCTGACCGGGCACTTACTAGTTATCGGAAAGTATTTGTATTTTTTGGGTGATAAGTATGTGTGTTTAATTTGTAATCCATTTGTAGAAAGAACCATTAATGCGATGGCGACCATAGATATAAGCTGTGATAAACGATTAGACGTGGAGAAAAGATTTCCCAGTTTGGTAAGTTTTGCATGTGGCTGACAATCAATCCATAAAATAGCTTAAACTGCAAGAGCTTTCAGGCTCTAGTTATAAAGACTTAAATGCCGTTTTAAAAGCCCCCTGCGATTTGTACCGTAATTTAATAGTGCAGCTACTTTGTTCCTGTATTTGGGTAGCAATAGTTTTAACAGTTTTACATAATTATTTATCTTGCTAAATATATACTATGGATAATTGTGTGTGGTGTTGTGTTTTGTTGTATTTGTATTTGTTATCTTTACGTTGTTGTTCTGTTATCTGGCGTGGTCTATTGTTGTTCCTTTACGTTCAGCTGATCTGTACCACTTTAAAACCTCAATTTTCATTCGTTCTTGTAAATCTACACCTCTTTTGTTCTTAAGACTAGGGGCATTTTTTTGTGTTCTTTTTCTATTGTTTCGGAACCTTGGAAACCTTGTAAAATGTGCAGCTCGCCGCTTTCCGTTATGTTCCTCTGTGGTGTTGTGTTTGTTGTTACTTTCCTATACGTTGTGTTGTGTTACGTGATGTGTTTTTGGTTGTGTTGTATTGTTTGGTACGGTAGTGTTTGGTTGCATTGCGTTGTGTTGCATTTCGCTGTGATGGGCGGTGTGGTGTTGTGTTATAGTTACAGCACCTTGCACACGTAATGTATATGCACATTGGAAACTTTCTATGCTGTCAGTAGATGATTTTGAGTAAGTCAATATGGGGAGCAGGGATGGCGTAGTTGTGAGAGCGCTTGTCTTCCACCAATGTGGCCCGGGTTGGATTCTGGCCCGGGGCCATTTGTGGGTTGAGTTTGTTATTGGCTCTCGCCTTTCTCCGAGGGTTTTTCTCTGGGCTCTCCAGTTTTCCTCCCTCCACAAAAACCAACACTCCAAATTCCAATTCGACCAGGATAGATGACTCTAAATATAGTAACTTAGTTATTTTTAATTATCTTTTTCTTTTAAGGCTTGTGAACGTGTCAGACACCTGGGCTGTTTATCCGCCGAAGCTGTTGACAGTAGGTATGATATATCCTTTTCCAAAGGCTTACAAATAACGAAAAATTGCGCACTCACAGCCTCATTTACTTAGTGTATACTCTTTTTTGTAAGAAACTTTTTGAGTTATTTTTTTAGAAAATAAATGCATCTTAGTGGGCAAGTCAGGGTTAAATGGATTGGTGAATGGGTAGATGGGCAGTGTATGTATTTCAGACCATTGGACCTTTCCCGCATTCCAACAAACAATGGCGCCGAGTCGGCAAAAATACAGCAAATGTATGAAAATGTGCACCCCAACCTTGCTCTGGTACCATTATTCGAACGCACTGAAGTGGAATGCGGGAAAGGTCTATTAGATTAATACTACTATAAACAACCAATCCAAATGCTCCTTGTAACAGGCCGGATGTGCCGATATTTGTTGACGTCATCTAAGCACCGGTTCAGCAAGATGGCGGACAAGCAATTGTCTGTTTCGTAAACGGTCGATGCCATTTTCGCGACACTTAGAAATTTTTCCAACTATCAACGAATTTTTCACCACTAAATTAAAGAAAAACGAAAATTTGTCAGTAACCAGCCAGTATCGAACCCGAAACTTCTCTTTCCTAACGTCCCCATTACACTACCAGGTTGCTCCGCCAATTCTCTGCAAAATTTAATCATAAAACGTGACTTTCTTAAATGTTAACGATAGAGTTACCCTAACCATCAAATGTAAGCTAAAACGGAAATTAGCAGCGGAGAAACTAGTGTCGCTCTGCGATGTTTCACCCAGCATTAGTATGATCACGGTAACTGAAACTATAATCCGATATCTTTGGTTTTTGAGAAAAGGTGTTTTGGAACATGGATATTGTGGAAGTACGAACCATGAGTTGGAACTACTTTGTCTCTTTTATTGTCGCTCTAGGTTTGCTTACTTTTGAATTGTATGTTTTGGTCTTTGTATCGATAGAACTTCTGTTCGTGACATTTATTCTGAGATTGCTTAACTTGGATACCTGGATAGTACAGACACTTTTGCTTGCCCCTTTGGTGTCTGTGTTGAGTGGGTCCCACTGTATTTGATGTTTTTGTAACCATGACATTAATTATTTCGACAAATTTTGCAGCCCCATAAAACAGGTGACATACAATATGAGATGCTGTAGTGGTGCCACAAAGCGCTGTTAATAATTGTAAAAGATATAGCTTGTGCCTGATAATGGTGAAAACTCAGGAATTTAGTGCCATTCCTGTGACTCTAGGTTATTCACAGGTAAAGTGCGATCCTCTTTTTGTTTTTTAGGTGTGGCAGTGTGATCATAGATTTCGAGATGAAATTCAACCAAAGTAAAGTCGTTAGTGAGGTGTTGAATGTTCTGAAAACAGCCGCAGAAGAAGACAATTTTGATGGGTTCAAAGTCGATCCCAATTCCATTGAACAAATTTCTCCTCCACCCACGGGCACACCAAGCACTAAAAGTACAGTATCTTGGTTTTATTTTCCTGGCAGCTTTCACTTCTACGTGCCTTACCGTTGCCACCTAGACAAGTTTTTTATTAGTTTTGACACTTTTTGACATCTTTTTGACAACTGTATAGGCTTGGTGGTCTCATGGTGCTAGTGCTCAACTCCCGATCGGGCCGTCCAGGGCGAGTCCTGGCCAGGGACATTATGTTGTGTTCTTGATTAAGACACTTAACTCTCACAGTCCCTCTCTCCACCCAGGTGTATTAATGGGTAGCAGGGAGTTTAATGCTCAGGGTTAACCATGTGATTGACTAGCATCTCATCCAGGGAGGAGCACAAATACTCCTAGTTGTTTCATGCTACTGAAGCCGGAGATAAGCCCCAACCTAATGGGCCACTTAACTTGTATGCAGACTTTACTTTTGACTTGTGATGCCTTTCGTTACCAATGGCCAATCAATTGCAATAACTTGGAGCCGGTTTCAAACGTTCGCAGGCTGAGACTTAAGAAATTTCCTTGAGAGTGAATGATGAATTTGACAATTTGACAATTTAATATTTCTGCCCTCGACAGTTCCCATGCTTTGGTTGGCCGGTTCAAATAGAAGCTAGCAAAATTTGTTAAAAAGATGTCAAAAGTTAATGAAAAACTCAGTTGTCTCACGTGGCAGCCGTACGAGACGTAGCACTGTAGAATAATAGTTATTTGTAATCAATTAACTTGGCTGCGTAAGTTTACCAAGTATACTGCTGCATTTACAATAGTACAGACATTTTATAAAGGTCTTTTTCTAGACGTAGACCTCGACTAATTCCCCCCCCCGCCCCCCTCTCTTCAGCCAACAGTTTATCGTGTTCCCAACGACACTCAAACATTACATTTCTTTCTTCTTACGTTGGACTCCCATGCAGCGAGACACTCGTTTTAAATTTGGGAAGTTTTAGTCCTAGTCTGGTTAAACGGTGTAGCAACTGCCTAAAAGCTTTGTATAATCAATGTCTCATAATATTGTGTTTGTGCTTGTTCAAATGATGGACAACGATACCCACCGAACTAAAACACATCTGGCGGTTGGAAACTTAGAATTCTGTGTGTGATCTACCGCTTTTTCAATTGTCCTAATATTTTAGTTGGGTTTATTTCTGTTAGAAACTATTTGAGGAGAAGAAAGGACACAGACAAAGCATTTAGCAAACGCACTCTGGCCGGGTGCATGATATGATCGTACTGTGTACATTTCGTTCAGCCGTACTCATATTTCCAAGGAAACCAGTGCCTCATGGTTAAGTTTACATTTGATTAATGAATATCTGGTCTTTTTCAGAACGAGTTTGTAGTGGATTTTTCAAAAAGGAAGATTGCGGCAGTAAGTGTCATCAGGCCGAGCGTTATTAGTTATTTTTCATGGTAGAATCATATGTACTAGATATGACATACTCAGTTATTTATTATCTAGGAAACTCAAATTGTGATTCATACAAACCGTCTTGGTATCGTACGTGTTTTTAATATCAGGCGTTTGTCTGAAAATAGTCGCTGTTTTTTCTTTTTACCATTAATATTTGGATAGATAAGAATAGGTCCGGTAATGTTTCCATTGCTTTTAGACCATCATGCAGACTGCGAGCCGTCTCATTCTTTTCCTTTTGTGCGACGCGATGACACAAATGCAATCGCGCAGAGGATTTCAGAAAGTAACACCGACTACTCGTAGTCTAAGTATTATTTGGCTTTTGGAATAGTCAGGTAAACCTGAAGAGGTAGAGAGACAGGCGTCAATAAAGATAATTTTATTTTGTAATAACTGAGTGATTTACTATTTATGATATCATGGAGGAAGTCTCTAAAATTGTTGTCTTTTCAGACGCCTCACGTCCCACTTGCTGTAGAGTATTTAATTGTTGTTATTGCCGTATATTTCTAGATTTTTCGCTAATGTAATCCTTAGCCTACATAGCAAGCGTAAAGCGTAAATCGCAGCGAGGGCAAAAACTCAATGAAGAAGTTGCGGTGGCGAGGGAGGGAACGCTTGCCCGTAAACCCCTCAATTTTGAAAAAAAGCCCACTGGTTTTCACGGTTGAGTTCATTTATTGACTGACAACCTTGTCACCAAGCT